TGTCTAAACACATGCATGTATTTGCCAAAGAATATGGTATGTGAAGGTTTGGCTATTAAGCGCTTTGTTAAAAGGTCTAAATTACTTCAAGAGTAGTTGGAGAAAGACTTGTACCAAATCTCGATATCTATTTATTGTGACAGGAACGCAGTACAACCAACAGTGACAATCAAAAAAAAAATTTGACAATGTGCTATACAAGTGGGAGAAAGGCCCATTGTCGGGTAAAGGATGAGGTAAATGATAGGTTAACAATTTTTTCTCAATATGCATTGTATTTGGTAAAGTTGTAATATGTATTTATTGTTCCTAATAATGAAGATGTATAAGAGAGATAAGGTGCAAGCTGTAGACACCCCATTTTTGACCGTCCTCAAGACTTGGACGTCACCACTCGAACACTTGGTGATTACTCATGTTTGTGTTTCGTTTTGAGTTCCCGGAGGTCTCGGCTACGCGCCTTGCCTCAGGATCTCTCAACTCGACTGTTCTGTGTTTGGTTTTGCACCAAACACTTGTATTTTTTGCTTCTAAGGGTAGAAAGTAGCTTGTTAGCTACCCCTGACACCCACCGGCCTTGGTTTGAGGCCACCGGCCATGTTTTGAGGCTACCGGCCATTGGTGAATTATAGCATTGGCCGGTCGGCACTCAGTATGGCCGGCCGGCCATCTGTTTGGCCAGTGACCTCCTTTTCTGGTCGGTAGCACCTTTTTACCTTTTTCAGGCATGGTGCATGCCAGCTGTGCCAGCTGGAATGCACCAAACCTGCCCCGGGGCATGCTTGTGGTTGTTTTGCCCTTTTTGCACCATTTTGGTCAAAGCTTCTTGAGGAAGCTTGACCCTTTGTCAAAGCTTCCTCAAGAAGCTTGCCAGCTGTTCTAGCTTCCTCAGGAAGCCTTGCACCCTTAACTTGGCTTCCCTTGTAAGCCTTGACCCTTTTGAGTAGCTTCCCTTAGAAGCTTTGGCCAATTAGCTTGCCTATATAAGAGCCCCTCCTCCTCCTTTGTTTGGTTCAGCAAAAAAACAGAGCTATACACATATATATCTAATATATATCATCCTCTCCCTCTATATCTCCCTCTCTCTCTTCATTTTGTGTGTGTTTGAGGGCCTAAAGTGTGTGTTTGTTCTTAGTTTTGCAGTAAAACGCATAGCATTACACCTTACTTCAAATTTGAGAGGCTTTGAGGGTTTGTTCTTGAGGTTTTGGACTGGTTTTGATCAAAAGAAGAAGGCTGCACTTGCTGTTCATCAAGGGTTCTTCAAGGGTAACTCTTTTACTTTAGATTCCCCAATCTTGCACTAGACTTTTTCCTATCTTGCTCATTGTTTTAGACTTTGTGTATAACTGAAAAAAAGTCTTGTATTTGTATGCTTAAGATATCTCGTTAAGGTTGTTTTGGCATTGGGGGTCGACCTCTCCCTCTTAGGCCTTGTTTGGCCCCTTTTTGTGCTTCCTTTATTAAGTTTTGATTTCTTTGGTGTATTAGCCTTCTCACCACTGAAATCCAGTGGATTTTCAGTGGTGAAGAAGGGGGTTTGAGGTCTTGCATAGGGGAGGGACACCCCTCTCCCTTGGTCTCTCATTTTGTTCATGTTTTGGCTCATAAGGGTAATATGCATGTTTGGTTTGTTTTTGGTTCCATATCAAATATTTTGGGTGTTGTTTAGGTCATATGTTGACCCATTGCATGCATATTATACTTGCTTTACATTCCTCCATATTGTCTAAAAGTGCATCATACCATTAGACCACCATGCTCTCATAGTTTGGCCTTGCTTTGTGAAGTCCTTGGTCATATTTTGCCATGTTTAAGGTCTGTGGGGTACTGATTTAATCATGTTTGCCATGTTTGGTATGACCTCCTTGCATCTTGACATTATGAGCTTTAAGTGTGTGAGGCATGAGCATGTTTTATTGAGTCTATTTCAGTAATTTGGAGTCATTTTATATGTCATTTCAGTCCTCAAACCATACTTGTATGCTTGCATTCATCACCTCTTTCATGTTTTGAGGATGTGTCCTTTTATGCCTAGAAATGAGCTTTGGTGCATGCATTTTGTTTAAGTCACTTAGGCTGCCATACAAGTGGATTTTGGGGGCTCATTTTACATATTGAAACTCTGATTTGTATTGAAAAGTGCATGCCATGAGTGGTTGGGGTGGTTGTGGTAGGATACTCTCTTTAGTGGCCTTGAATGCTTCCTCTTTTGTATCCATTTCCTAGCATGTTTTGGTGCCATCTTTTGCATGCATTTTAGAGTCTAACATGAGTGTTTGGTATCCATGTACCTCACCTTTGGGTGCTCTTGAGAATAGCCCTCCATGCCTTAGCTTTAGGCCCCTTTGATTTGCTTGTTTGGTATGCTTGTTGTCCATCATTTTGGCATCTTTGGCCACTGTTTTGGGGTGTGGCTGGGGCCTCCCATTTCAGGCTAAGTCCACTCTTGTATATGGTTGCATGCTTGACTTGTTACATTTAGTTGCATGCTTGCATTGTGCCATGTTTACATTACATTTTAGGTTGCATTGCATTGCGTCTCGCATGCTTAGTACATTACATTTGCATGTTTAGGTTACCCTGCATTTGGCATACCTTGTAACTTAGCCTCATGTTGCATAGTTGAGCCAAGTTTGTATACATACATTGCATTGTTTGGTTTGGGGTGTCGAACCAAACTTGAGAGGTGAGGAGTATCCGTACTCCAAGTGACGAAACACATCTCAACCCTCAGTAGTCAATGCCCTTGACTTCAATAAGATAGGGTGTTGGCACTCATCTCTTTTGTTGCATTCATTCACATTGAATTGCAAACTTGGCCTCTTAGGCCATCATGCGTCGAAATGCGCAATTGATGGCCCGAGGGTTGAAGGTCATGCTCCCTTGAGTCCCTTGCATGATAGGGAGTGTGTCCATGCATACATTTGATTGAAAATTCCATGCCATACACTGCTTGCCCTCTGCTGCTGTCAACTGCAGGTTTCAGCAGGAATATTTGGTCAGCCGGCAGTGTTGAGTGCCGATCGGCAAATAATGTTTGGCCTAGAGCACAATATTTAGCCGGTGAGAGTATTTCCATGGCCGGTAGTATATTCTTTTGGCCGGTAATATTCCATAACGCTCAAGGAGCAGTTTTGGGGACTTTCAGAATTTTTAGAGGGGCAAGGCAGTGTAAACAGAGGCAACGGTGCTATGGCAGCGAGTTTCCGGGCAAGACGAGTCAAGCATGCATCATTCATGCATCCTGAGGCAGGGCTGTGACCACCTTCTTTCTGCATTTAATTTGTTAATTAATTAGAAATTCTGTAATAATTAATTTAGTATTATTTATTCGGACTGTAATATTTATTCGGACCCTCCGAGTGAGGGCAATTGTGTAATAAGTGTGCGTGAGTGTGTGTATGTCTCCCAACCCCACGTCTTTCTTCCCTTTTATTTACTAGCTTTCGATGGTTAGCCTAGGGCATGTTTCAATTAGCACACAGTATGATAGCATGCGTGCATCCATACATTTGTCTTACATGCACCGGGCTCGGCGCATTATACTAACTGCATTTGTATTTCAATTCCAAAGTTGAATACATGTTAGTTGTAGCATCATCACATGCCATCTAGAATAGCCGAGCCTATTGTAGTTACATCTTGTATGTGTTGCATTAGCCATCTTAACATGAGCTAGAATCATGCATTGTACTAACTAGTTTTTGTTTTGGCTCGGAGTACTAGGTAAGCATTTACGCTTTAGCATACCGCATGCGTGTGAGTGTTGCCATAATAGCACTATTACCATGAGGCTAGCTGCTTATGTGATATAACTGCTTGAGTGCCTGTGGGTGGAGGTCGAATTACCCAAATTGGAATAATGCATTAAAACTGTGAGTTTTAAGCCCATTAGATAGTGACAAAACCATCTTTTCTAAAGCCCACGTGAGGGTGGCAAAACCTGCATTTTAGCCTACTTACTAGTAGCAAGCCATTTTCAAAACAAGCATGAAATGTTTTGTTCCAATTTAGGCGATTTGGTCTATACTTATTTGCTGTGCGCATAACATAGTAATTCTAGGCTAATAACCGGAATAAGAACACATAATGTTTTCAAAAACGGATATCACAGTTAGTAGAGGCCGATCTTCGGATCGGGCGAGGGGGGGTGCTCATAGCTGACCTTTCACAATTGTACCCAAGCTCCCGAGCCAAGGCAACTTTGGTGATGACGGACACATGGCTTTTGGCACCGAGTCAGGGTTTCCTAAATTCCCCCATAAAAAATATTTAGGTGACGACTCTGTATCTGGCAAAGCAGTCCATGTTTGGCACTTCTTTTTTAAAAATCTGTTTTCTCAAAACGATTTGCCGAATTTGGACTCTTTGGTTCAGATTAAGAACCGTGACAATTTGAGAGTCTGAACCGTAGCGAGCCCAAAACGAACAGAATGGGACTCGTCCTCCCGGGGCGTTCGGGGACGTCTACACAAGCAGATTGGATAATGGTCTACATAGAGACACACACAAAAAAGAATAGAGATCCAGTTGATGAGGCATCAGATGTAGCCATTGTATGTGTAATAATGTGAATCTTTACAATTAATTATTTACGTATTCATGTTCTAATAATTTTTTTTTTCTTATATTTTAGTCTCGTTTGAAAGAGGGATTGTCTCAAGTGCCCGAGTCCTTACAAACTAAAAAATTTCGAGAGGAGCTATTCACTGAGGCTTAGGAGTAGATGGGCATGGTCGTGTACGTACCTATGGATTGGGACCTTGCCCATCTCAAGTGTTTGGGACAAGATATTCTGGACCTCGACAACGTATAGACATGGATAAATTGCGCACAGATGTACGAGAAGAGGTGCGACAGGAATTATTAGCTGAGTGGGGTGAAAGGTTTACTCAGTTAGAGCGCAAGTGTGACAAAATGCAAGCTCATATGGAAACTATGGGATATCCAATGCCTCAATCACCATCAATTTAAGTATGTTTTACTATAATAAATTAGATATTGTAAAGTTAGCTAATTATATGGTTATGTTTAAATAGAATGGTTCCAGACCATCATTCAATATGCAGCAGGTTCCAGATGCCTCTAGTTCTCACCAGTTGAATGAAGAGCTAATGGTTCCATCACATGAAGTAAGACAATGTTCACACATAATGAGTATTTAAACATAGTCATTAAATTTTTTCATAAACATTATTATTAGTTCTATTTCTTCAAGGAATACTAGTTAAATTTTTGGGTTAGTTAGAAAACACATTATTACCTCCCTATAGTTTAAAAATATACACATCTCTGGTATGGAGTAAAATGCAAACGTTATTTTCTTTTGTTTTTGAGCTAAACTAGAAGGGGGTAAAGTGTATTTAATCCTAAATACTTTAATGTGATTGCTTTCATACACAACATTTACACATTAATTTTTTTTGAAGGTTGGACAAGAAGTAGAATTACTTACTTCTAAATTGCCAAAACAAGTTGTGGCAATTGGCATAGTTATTTCTAAGGACCCATCCAAAGTAGTAGGTGGACAACGATTGGGGCCAGAATTTTGGGAAGTTCGTATTACGAAAGCGATAAAGCCTCGTCAAAATTTGGTGAAAGCTCTTGAAGGTGTCAAAACAGTTGGAGATGCACATCACAAATGTGTAGCTTGGCCTTCAGTTGATGTAATGCATATGCACTAATCCTATATTTATTATATTTTTAAATCTTAGTGGTAGCAAAATTTATATCTTTTTATACATGTGTAGATTGAGGATCCATTTGCAGACTTTGTAGATTGAGGGGAATTAGATGGACCATGTAGATAAAGGACATACTTTTTGGAACTTTTATTTTGGCACTTGTGTTTTGAGACAAATATTTTGCAACTAATTGCTACATTTGCAGGTTTGAAAGGAGCTAGATAGAACATGTAGATGATGTACATGTTTTTTGGGACTTTTTATTTTGGCACTTGTGTTTTGAGACTATTTTGGAACTAGTTGCAGCATTTTGCAGATTGGGGGAGCTAGGTGGACCATGTAAATGCAAATGTCTTTTGGGACTTTTATTTTGACACTATATATTTTGAGACAAATATTTTGAACTAATTGCTACAAGTGACATGTATTTTGGAACTAATTGCTACAAGTGACATGTGGTTGGAACTTTGCTACATGTGACATGTATTTTGGAATAGATTTTGTTAATTGAATATGGTGTATGGATTTGTATGGCTATAAATTGTATTGTGGCAGCTTATATATTGTTATTGAATGTATGGAAGCTTTAGTAGGTTATACACTTCTAGTGAATGATTTTCATTGAGTACACTAGTAGGTATTGAATATAAATGTATAAACAAAGTCAGTTTAACAAATGATTCATAATTTTCGGCAGTTTAATTTTGTCGCAAAAAGAAAATTATATTTATTTTGAAATATATTTAACAGCGGTAAATAAATGCCGTTAATTGTTATAATCTTTTGCGGCAGTAAAAAACTGCCATTTTTTACTCTAAATTACTGTCGTTAACAAATGGTTCATAATTAACGGCGGTAAATAAATGCCGTTAATTTTTGTAGTCTTTTGCGGCAGTAAATAACTGCCATTTTTTACTATAAAATACCGTCATTAAAGGCATGACATTTACGACGGTTCTACAAACCGCCTCCAATATTTAAGATCATCAATTTTTTATGTGGCGATTAATAACCGCTGTGAATATCACCGTTATTAATAATGGCGGTAAAATAACCGCCGTTAAAGGCAAATTATGGCGTAGTGTCTGTAGAAGTCGTAGGTTGACAATGAAAGTGCTACATGGTTTAAGGGTGGTCTTTTAAGAACATGTACTACATAATGCATTCAAATGAGATATTTGCCTATGAAGGCAACGTCATTCTACTATGCACATTTCATTTTAAAAAAAAGAGGTGTACCTTATGCAAAATTATTATGTGGTTTTTATATGTATCACAAATTATCATAATTAAATCCTTTTGAATCATAATTAAAGAGATTACAATGAGTCATAATCAAATATTACTTTAAGATATCATCGAATATCTTTTTTAATTATAACTACAATCTATATTTCATAACTAAATCATAATAAATAATACAATGAGTTTTAAAACTAAATCATAGCCAAATTTTACTTGAGGCATAATCAGAGACCACAATAGCCCCATTTGGTAGAACTGTGAAAAAGTAATTATAGATTATACCTTAACAGATTATGGCTTATAGTTGTGAACATAAGTTGTTAACCTGTTTGGTGCAGCTGTGGGATTATGGATTTAAGTAGCAGATTAGTGTTTGATTGACAAGCTGTAAAATAACTTTTTATTATTTAATTGTCCTTTTTGCCCTTATATGATATAAAAATGATTATTTTGTCATTTTTTCAGTTTTAATTTTAAATAAATTATTTCATTAATAAAAGTTAATGTAATTAGTATTACAAAAATTATCATTTCATTAATAGTATCAATTAGTATAATTTTTTTTCATTTTTTTATTATAAATTAATTAGTGGCAATTAATAGTTTAATAAGCATCAATTAATAGTAAAATTATTAATAATATCAATTTGTATAAATTTTTTTCATTTTTTCATTTTAAATTAATTAGTGGCAATTAATGGTTTAATATGCATCAATTAATAGTAAAATTATTAATAGTATCAATTAGTATAAATTTTTTTCATTTTTTCATTATAAATTAATTAGTAGCAATTAATGGCTTAATAAGCATCAATTAATAGTAAAATTATTAATAGTATCAATTAGTATAAATTTTTTCATTTTTTCATTATAAATTAATTAGTGGAAATTAATAGTTTAATAAGCATCAATTAATAGTAAAATTATGGATTAATTACCAAAAAGTCCTATCTACATATTTGGTGGTAGCTTAGGTCCTATCAAAAAAAATTTGAACCATTAGGTCTCATTTATAGGTAAAAAGGTATTTTGCCCTTTAATCCCAAAACTGAGAATGTTCTCAATTTTAAAACTGAGAATGTTCTCAATTTATAATTATCAAAACTAAGAAATTTCTCAATTTTTTTCATGATTAAAATTGAAAATATTATAAACTGAGAATGTTCTCAATTTCAAATTAGAATTCAGAAGAATAATGTAGTCTTTCGTCATCTGACTTTCCGAAGATGAAGCTCCCTTGCGATCCACCGTAGAATCGTCCACTTTTCCCTCTTTTGCAGCCCAAGAAAAACCAACCTTCTGACCAAAGGATTCGGCAGAGAGAGATAATCGGACTGAACAAGTCGGAGACCGGCCTTGATGTAGTGACAAGAGACGGAATCGGAGTCAAGTTTTGGACGATTAGAGGATTGAATGAGTCGGCGAAGAACGTTGAAATTGCAAGGACATGATGAGGCGGTGGCATAGAGGTAGCAGGCGACGGAGGCGGTGGTGGAGGAGGAGAAAGGAGAGAGGTGGAGTTGTAGAGAGAGAAAGAGAAGGAAAATGAGGGACATTTGGAGAGCTCTCTCTCACTAGTATTGCTGTTGTTGCTGCTACAATGGCTTCTTCATTGAAGAAGACTACTGATTCTGAGAGAGAGCTTGGATAAAATGAGTGGAGTAATTGTAATTGCATAGAACTTGAAATTGCAACTGTGAAGAGAGAGAGAATGAAGACAACAATGATGTTTGGTAGCTATAAGGAGGTTTTGGAAGGATAAATTAGGCTATTAAAAATTAATGGGACTTGAAGAAGCAAATGATTATATTTAGGACTTAATGGAGTATAAGTTCATAAAATGAGACCTGTATGTAAATGCCCCATAAAATTATTAATAGTATCAATTAGTATAATTTTTTTTCAATTTTACATTTTAAATTAATTAGTGGCAATTAATGGTTTAATAAGCATCAATTAATAATAAAATTATTAATAGTATCAATTAGTATAAATTTTTTTCATTTTTTCATTTTAAATTAATTAGTAGCAATTAATGGTTTAATAAGCATCAATTAATAGTAAAATTATTAATAGTATCAATTAATATAATTTTTTTTCATTTTTTCATTATAAATTAATTAGTCTCAATTAATTAGCATCAATTATTAATAATTAATTAGCATTTTTTCATTCATTAATTTTTTTTATTTATTAAAAACACTGAAAAACGTCCAAAAAAAAATGAAAACCCTAGCTCCGGCGGGATGAACTTGCATTAGGGTTTCAGATTGATCCATAGAAAGAGAGAGAGAACCCTTGTCACGCCGGCAGCAATAATCTAGAAATTCGCTAAATATTGATTTGTGATTATGTATCAATTTTAAGCAATAAAACAATCCCAATTAAACAATCAAGACACATCGACACAACGATTTTAACGTGAAAAAATCACAATTGGAGCACCTCCAATTCTGATAAAAAAAACCACGGGCAACAGCCACAAAACAATCCACTAAGAAGATATAAAGCAATTACACAGGTATACTCTCAATTACCTAGCGAATCCACGATCGAATTGAACCAACCCTTATGTGCCTCTTCCAACCCCGTCTTCACCTTAGAATTGTCTTGACCATGAGCCACTCCAGAATCCACCAAAGCTTCAAGCTCGAATTCTTCAGAATCCACCGAAGAACAACTCTTTCTTTTGTATAGAATGAACAAACAAACCTTTGATGTATTCTTCTTAACCCATGAGTTGAATACTCAATTAAACATCAAAGAAAACTAGCAAAATATCCCCAGATATAAACCTTAATAACCAAAAAGAAGATCTGGAGAAGTTATCCTAGATTTGGAGCAACATGTGAATTTATAGAATTTGAAATCGCGAGGTCCGCTCAAGTGTGGAAATGGACGCTCGAGTTGGGACACTATATGACATGTTCCAAACCAGGATGTACACTCGAGCGGGGAAATGGACGCTCGAGCGTGAAAACACGGATCACAATGATGGTGTTTGGGAAGTGGGTTTTTATGTAGGTTTTTTTAGTTGTAGGTTTTTATTGGATAAAAAATTTTTGGTGTTTGGGAAGATAGTTGGGTTTTTATGTGGTTGGATGTGATGTTTGTGAGAGAAAAAGTGAAATGATTATGGGGTTGGATGTGATATTTTGTTTGGATGTGTTTTTTTTGGTTTTGTAAAAAGTTTGTCTTTTAGTGAAACAAATGAGAAAAAAATCCGGAACCTAGGTTCCCAAACACCACAAATATATTTGCAGACTCACCAAACTTCTAGAACTTAGCATTCTCCGCTCGAGCAGGGGAATGTCCGCTCGAGCGGACAGGCAACTTTGAATGCATTTTTGCATTTTGCTTCGGGGGCGCTGCCCCTCGACCCCGCCCCTGGGCACTGCCCCGGACCCGCCAAGGGGCGCTACCCCTTCGACCCCCGCGAGCTGACCAGGCAGCTCGATTCCTGTCATAATCAGTGAAGTGGCAATCTTGAAAGAATTAAACACCACAAACTTCTCTGCAATGCACGATTCAGGTTGGATTCGCATCTAATAAACTCATAGCCTCACTGAAATAAAAGTGCAAAAAACAAGTACAATTGAAAGGAGTTTTGTCATACGGGATTGCCAAGAATAAAACCTAACAATCTCCCCCTTTGGCAATGCCGTGACAAAACACACCTAAACAAATAAAATCCTAAACACCCCAACCCATTACAACAAAAAAAAGCCAACTTCTTTCTCAAGGTCATGATGTGCAAAACTGTTATTAGT